TTTTTTAAATATATACACTTGTATCCAATTTTAACTACATGAAGATGATCTGCTTTTGAAAACTAACATTTTGCTATCATTCTATAAAAAAGTAAATTGTTTGGAAGTATAATAATACAAAGGAATGTTATTAATTTGCCATCAGAATATAAATTTAGGAGAATTTTACAAAGCTTTATTTTCTTAATATGTAGTTATGACAATAGGAAACCCATTGTCATACCTTGATATCAATTATTTATATATATTTAACAAATAAAAACATTCATATATATAGGTACATACATACATACACAGAGATTATGCACATACACATACATCCTAAAATAGTTCATTTCAGAATAAATTGCACTTCTTTTTTCAAATTGCAAAGATTTACTTCATATTTTCTGACTATCTTTTTAAAAGATCCTTTTAAATTTTTTCTGGCCTTTAGAAGTTATCATAGACAGACTAGGAAGACAGTAAGGGAAGAATAACTCAGTCACACAAGGAAGGAAGAGAATCATATGTACTGCTCTCTATTACTACTAACTTGAAGCTTATGCAGTACAATTAAGTGTTTTGAACCACAATTTTATCAGCAGAGTTCAATATCAAGGCATATATAAAAATGGCACATGTTGCATATTTAAACTCTTTTATAATCTTAGAATCATGAAACTTCTCCATCAAGCCCTACTACCTTATTTTACAGTTGAAGAAACATCTTCAATGGGACTTAATGACCTGTCTAATGTTACACAGCTTGTCATCCCTGAAACTGAAACAGGAACTTTTTACTATCATTTTAATACTTATATATTCTTTTTTAAAATGTAATCTTCTCTTAAATGAATGTAGCAGATTATAAATATTAAGGCTGTTTTAATAGGACAATTATTCTTTTTGCTTTTATTTCTAATAGATATATGGAACATAATGACTTCTCATCTCATGGGAAGACTTGAAGATTGAGCCTTTCCTGCCCTCAAGGGAAGAGAACCTGATTAGATGTTGCACTTAATTCTTGATCTGGATTTGAAAAGCTATCAAGTACTGCTAAAAAAAGTAAAAAGTAATAGGTTCTAGAGTATATAGACAAATATGAAGGTCAAAGGCAGGATTCCTGAGACTCATATAAAGCTTAAAGTAAGTTGAATAAGAAGGGCTTTCATAGGGCAACTTAGAAATTGTAGAATTGACTGTGGAAAGTGTTCAAATGGAAAAAGACCCATTCCCAAGAGAAAAAAAAAGAGACATATGGCAATGGAAAGATCACTGTTCTGGTCTCCAGGCATATATACCAACCATCTAACCTCCTGCACTCAACGGGGGATCTTATACCATCCTGTCCTAGGGCCTACACACTAATTTGGTGTAGATCACGTTGGCAGTTAATAGTTGTGCTGAGGGATAACTATCTATGCTCCAAGACTGTGTTTGAATAACTCATGTGTTCTATTACCCCTGCTGCCATTGCTGTCTCAACCCATCTCACAATCTCCCAGTCGATCTATCTGCTCTGAAAAGGGCATGGGACTATGCACATCTAGTAGAAATGTATAGTGGGGTGGAGTAGAAGAATTCCCCTATCTGTATCTAGAAAAACTGAACTAAAACATGTAAGGTCCCTAGAGCTGAAGCAATGGTTATATTAAAGTTTATGATCTCATTTCTAAAAAAACTTACTATTTTATAAGTATTCACAAAATTTAAACTTTTTCCGAGTTTTTCTTTCATAAATGGATAGGTGGAATGTACAAAGGAACTTGTTTCGTTACTCTGTAAATGTTTCTAAATTACCTAAAGCTGAGATATTTTGTGCAAGGTGTATATATTGTTTATATACACGTGTTTCCCTGTCTCTTTGAATAATATAACAGATAAAAAGTCAACCAAAGGAGAGGACAGAATTTGATGCTTGAGAAGGAGAAAAACAACAAATGCATAACTGTGTACTGTCAGCGTGACTAATGCAATTTAATTTAGTTGTTATCATTTGAAAATACAAATATACTAATCTAAGTGGCTAAACTTTCAACTGCTTTTTAAAAATTTAAGTCAACAAGTGGGTGGCTTAAAGTGTTTCTAGACACACCACACAACAGCAAACTAAACTCTGACTTTACCATTTGTAGCTTTAGATCTTAATATATACTGAAATCTCTCAAAATAAATTTTTTCTTTTTCTTTTGTTTTGTTTACTTGCTCCCCGCCCCCCCCTTTTTTTTTTAGCTTAGAACTGAAGTTACCAAAAGGGAGTGCATATAGATTGGCTGAAAGCAAATGAGTAGCAACAAAAAAAATTAGGAGATACACAAAGAGTGGAAGAATGTATGAACAAAAATCTTCCAGGGATAATTTTCCCCTAGTTCAATAGGACAAAAGATCTACCACAAAAGAAGAAAATAGCCTCCTGAAACTTAATTACATTTCAAAGTAGTGCAGTAACATGAAAGGAACAAAAACCTTTTTGTTCAAAAGTATGCCTACCAGATGGCATCTCTAAATAAAGAAATCTAAAACCTTCTGCTTGTCTTATACATAAATAAAGATGAAAGGAATAGTAACAATAGCTAAACATTAAAATCACTGGAACTAGAAGAGAACTTTCATTAGGTTTGGAAGACTAACTCATTCTAATAATAATTCTGAATCTGGGAAGGCTCGAGTTCTAGGTGAAACTCAGAAGCACAATCTTCAGGTATTTACCCATGCTTGTATATCTGTTTAGACTGGTGCTCATTCAGTGGAAAGAACAAACTAGGAACTAATACACACCAGGAGGCTTAGGGAAAACTGAAGAAATCAGGAATTCCTAATAAAGACTCTAAAGAACTACACACAGTTCCAGGTTTTTGTGGAGTTTTTTTGTTGTTGTTTTGCTTTTTTTGTTTGTTTGTTTAAATAAAACAGTTATGACTTGCCCTTTATCTATTTTTTTGTGGGCTAATGTGTAAATGTAAATAATAGCTAAGGATCTGCATTCTCGAGTCAGGCCCAACACATAAGCCCAGACTCTACAGTTGACTGGAAGTATGACCTTGAGTCAAGTTCCTTACCTCTTTCAACCACATTGGCAAAATGAAGTAGAATTAGTATGGAGTTTGGTAGGAATTAACTTCTGTCAGACAGTCCTTGGCACCTAGTAAGTCCCATAAATATCAGTTTATCATTACTACCAACAACAATAATAACTATTAAATAATTCTGTTCCTGAGTTTTTGCTGTCTCAAATGCATGGGGTAATGCACAGCAAGGTTTTCTGGCAGTAAATGGAGTTTAAAGAATAGAGCTCAAAGCCTTCCCTGGCTTATCTCCAAGTGACCTCTTCTAGTAGTACTGCCCTGCTCTCACCTGGCTACTGAAGGTTATTAAGTACTCACGTGGGGAAGGTTGGTCTAGAGACAAGAATTTTTTAAGACTTGGTTGTCACAGCTCAGCCCACCCTAACCTGTCCTTCTCAATGACTTCTCTTACTGTTCTCAGCTGAACATCTGTGGGTTTTGGGAAAACCACACAGATTTTTCTTCTGATCTGGCTAACTAATAGTATGTAGGACCATTCTCATTGACAACGTTGGTACAACACTGATAGCACAGAGTCTATCATGGTAGCTAACCCTTGATGGCAGGCAATTTAGTCACTTGGAAGTTTGGTAATTGCCTTGAACAAATAAAATATGTTGTAACTGCTTGAATATGATGCAGACTACAGTGAATGGAAGGGTGGTGTTTCATGGCACTTAAGTTTCTACTGGGTTATTTTCTTCAATTTTACATGAGGAAAGAGTCACTTGCTGGGGCTACAGCCTTCAGTAGTAAAAGCTACTTATGTCTAGGCCTTTATAAGGAAGTAATTCCATTTTTTGGGGTATTTTTAAAATTGTGGTAAGATACACATAAAATGTGCTATGTATACATTTTGGTGGCATTAAGTCACAATGTTGCGCAACCATCATCACTGTCCATTTCCAAAAAAAATTTTTTTATCCCAAACAGAAACTCTGTATCCACTTAAAAATAACTTCCTAGTCTCTCCTCTCCTTATCTCCTGATTAAATGATATTCTACTTTCTGTCTTTAAGGAATCATATAATATTTGTCTTTGTGTGTTTGGTTTATTCCATTTAGCAAAATGTGTTTCAAGGTTCATCCATGTTGTTGCATGTTTCAGAATCTCACTCTTTTTTTTTAAGGCTGAATAAAATTCATTCCAATAACATGCAGATATCACATTTTGTTTATTTGTTTCTATCTTTTGACTGCCGAGGCTTTTGTGAATGATGCTGTTATGTACATTGGTGTACACGTTATCAGTTTGAGTCCCAGCTTTCATTTCTTCTGGGTTTATATCTATAAGTAAAATTCCTAGATCATATGGTTAAGTCTATCTTTAACATTTTATGGAACCATTGAATTATTTCCATAGCTGCTACATTTTTTCATTCCTATCAGTAATGCACAAGGGTTCCAATTTCTACACATCTTCATCAACATTTATTTTCTGCATTTTTATATCATCCATCTTAATGGGTGTGAAGTGGCATTTCATTAAAATATATTTGCTTCGTAAGCTATCTTAAAAAGACACAAAGAGGAATTATCCTGTAATTCCTGTATATAAGGAGCTGCAAACATCCTATGTGAGTTCCAAAATGGAAGTGAAATATGGTTTTATTCGTTAAATTTTAAACATAGTAACACCAATATTTTAAACATAGTAACACCAATATTTCTCCAACTAAGAAGGCAATCTTGAGCTTCAGGACGGCCCTTAAAAATCCTACAGCAAATGTTCAAGGTATAGATCGATTCATTAGTCATGACAGAAGCCCATACGAGGCTGACACACGTAAAATGCCAATCTCACCAAAACCAAACTCTCAAGAACTGCCTCAGACTTGACCCCACAGCAGCAACAGCTTTTCGGTGGGAGGACCCCGCCAGTCGCGCCGCGCATGCGCATTCACGGTCGGTGGCTGCGTGCCTACGTGCGCGGCCCCGCGCTGCAACGCAGGGGCGGGGCCGAGCGACTGCGGTCTCGGGGTCAAGAATGGCAGCTGCGTCAGCCTCAGTTCTCCACCGCTGTATCGTGTTACCGGCCGGGAGGCACAGCGCCTCTCTGATCTTCCTGCATGGCTCAGGTGGATTGCAGTTTTATGTCCTGGCTTCCTGCAGCTTGGGAAACATCATCCCCTTGGTTACCCCAGTGTTGCCCCAGTAGAGGTGCCGGGCCATCATAGGGACTTAGAGGGCTCGGAGAGGGTGGCTTTCTCGTGGCTAACCCTGGGCTGTTGACATACACCTGCTGTAGCCGTCCCTCCTCATTTTCCTCTTCCTGCTCTGCGGTCACTGTCCCACCACCCTCGCTTCCGGTCCTCGTGTCCCGCCGTTTTCGGCCAACCTTCAATCCACAGCATTCTCTCCAATGCAACATTTACCACATCCCCATTCCTCGCCCCAAGTTTAAACAGAGCAAGTTAGTAAGGTAAGTCTCCTGCTAGAGGAAAATAAATCATTTAGTGCTTTCCATGATCAGCTACTAGTGATTTCAGTTTTCAGCCGCAGTGATTATTTGCCATTGCTTGCTTTCTCCAGTCTCCCATAACTAATGTCGACAGTTGAGCTTCACAATTAACTTAGATATATACTGAGTATTTTCTTTCTGTGAGGCATTGAGCTAGGGTTGGAATTACATCCCCCCCCCCTTTTCCCCTTTTTTCCTGTTCTTTTTTCCCCTTCTTCCCCCTTTTTCTCTTGTTACTAAACTTCCAAGATATAGTACAGGGGCAGGAGTTCCAGGGGCAGGTATTCTTGGACTAGGTATTCTTTCCTTAGTAAGGTGTACTTAATTCTGTATATCGTTTTTTACACTTACCTGTAATTACTTATGCCTGCCTGCATATCCAGTGCATTTTGAGCTCTTAAAGAGTAAGGGCCCTTGTGTTAATCTTTACACACACAGTGCTTGACCTAAAGTAAATTATCAGGAAATGTTTCTTAAAGAAATGAGATGCAGCCGGTGATCTTAGGGGGCCTACCTAAAGTTAAAAACAAAAACAGTTCAATTAGTTTGAGTCAGCAGTGCATAAAGATCACAAGATGGTGCATGGTTTACTGCCAAGTGAAGCGTAAAAAAAAAATATGTGGTTAGGCATTATTAAGGTATTTGTAGGATGAAGAGCTTGTCAGACCTTTCTGAGAAGGTGGCTTTTGAGCTGAGAGGTAGGCTTAAAAGAGATGGTGATTGGATAGTGGAGGGAATTGTAAATGTACAGAGTAGAGATCTGGAAATGGACATTTAGGGATAGTGGTCTTTTTATTTTGAAAATGAGGCCAGATAGTTTCAACAGCTTACCCAAGATCTCCTGACTGTTACTCTGAGTGGTGGTGAATTTGGGATTTGAACACAGATCTCTCTGACTATAGAATCAGTGTTCTGGTGGGGTAAGGTGAAAACCTTGAACTAGCATATATTGTTTAGATGAATGCAATGTTTTGTCACCTAGAGACTGGTCATAGTACTCAAAGTTTCTAGAGTGTTCATTTGTATGTACCCAGAAATTCCCCAATACTATACTCTTTCTCATAAATAAATTAATCAAGTCACAATATCTTTAAGGACTCCTGGATTTTTTTCCTCTTCCTAGACCACTTTGCTTAAAATAAGTATCCTTACCCTTTTTGGTTTCAAATTACTGACATTTTAATAACCCGTAAAGTCATGTCTCTAAAACCTAGAGTCATACATTGTATATATTCTTGTTACTTTGTACAAAGAACAAAGAATTTGTCCAAATAATTCTGCCACATATACAAGTATAATACTGTATTTCTATATATTTAAAGCTTCACTGAAATTATCAGGAGCAGGCCTTTTGCCTCAGATTAGAAGTTGATGATTTTACATTTGACTTTAATATATATGGTTGTGTTATAAGAGATGTTTGACTTCTGGTTAATCCAAATATGGACAAACCAATTCTAACAGTTTTATCATATTCAGTTTTACCATGCTGTTAACCAGTTATAACGTTTTACTATGAAATAAGGGGCAGGCTCTTTTTAAAAGTATACATTGTAAATGAATGGATGGATGTTGTTTTGTAACATTCAGTCTTACGCTTTAAGGCTGAAAAAGTATGTTTAGAGACAGAATTTGTTTTTTAAAAAAAAAAATCTTAAAAAAACTTGAGATTTCCTTCTAAGATATAGAAGCCATAGAACATATGGGATTGCAAATTATATATAACTAACTTAATTTAAGCCTTTTCTACTAGTGAGATATTAAAGAAGGATCTTCTTTTAGGATGACAAAAATAAACGATAGTTTAATTTGTTTTGTTCAGCCTCTCAGATTAGAGTAATTCATCCTGTTATTTGTTCCCCCAAGACACTGATTCTCCTTTCAGTGGTATTCGTCATACTTGTAATTACTTAATTTAATGTCAGTGTTTCACACTTAACTTTAAGGTTCACAAAGACCCAAACCATGTGTTTTGTTTATGGTTTTCTCCCATATGTAAGGCTTAGCAAGTTGCTTAAGTCATCAGTAACCTCTGCGTCGCTAAATGTAATAGACATTTTTTGGTCTTCCTCTTATTTGAACTATTATCAGCGTATAGCTTTCTTCTTGAAAAACTTCCTTGGTTATATTTCTGCCTCTTTTACCCCTTCTGGTTTTGTTTGCAGGCTCGTCCTGTTCTACATGGCTGTTAATGATGGGGTTTCTCAAAATTTGATGCTAGGTCTTCTCATTCTACGTTTTTCATCCCAAGTTAAACTCCATAGATGCTCATATAGTCTATTTTTACCTATATATCAGTAAAGCAAATGCATGTCTCCGTTTTAGGCCTCCTTTGAGCTCTAGACATGTTTATCCAACTGCCTGATAGACATTCACTATTTCATTTATTCAAGAAATACATCACATGGCTTCTATGTACAAGGCACTGTTCTAGGCTCCAATCATACAGCAATGAACAGAACAAAAATCCCTGCTCTCTAAAACTTATGTTCTAGTGAAAGAAATAATATAGTAAGAGGTAGATTTTGTGGGAGAAAAAAAAGCAGTATAAAGGGGATGGTAGGTATGAGAGGGGATTTTACAACTTTAAATCAAGTGGTCAGGATAGGTCTCCCTATTAGTATGACACTTAACAGCTAGACTTAGGTGAGTGAATCATGTGGATATTGGGTTGAACTGTTCCAATCAAAAGAAAAGCAAAAACGGAGACTCCAAGGTAGATTCCTTGACATGTTCAAGGAACAACAGTAAGCTTTACTGATATATAGGTAAAACAGTGCTAGGGTGAGAAGAATAGGAGGGTGTTATAGTTTGGATGTTTGTCTCAAATCTCATGTTGACATGTGATTCCCAGTATTGGAGGTGGGGCCTAGTGGGTGCTGCTTGGGTCATGTTGGGGCAGATCCCTTATGACTGGCTAGGTGCTATTCTCACGATCATGAGTGAGTTATTGCTCTATTAGTTCATGTAAAAGCTGGTTGTTGAAAACGTGCCTGGTACCTTGCTTCTCTCTCTTGCTTCTGCTTTCACCATGTGACATCACTGCTCCCCGCTTCACCTCCCATTATGATTGTAAGCTTTCTGAGGCCTCATCAGAAACAGATACCCATACCAAGCAGAACCATGAGCCAAATAAGCCTCTATTCTTTATAAATTTCTCATCCTCAGGTATTCCTTTAGAGCAATGCAGAGTGGACTAATACAGAGGGGATATCCAAGAGGGTACTGGCGTCCAGGTATTGTAGAGCAACAGATATTTTGTAAAGGGTCACAGAGTAAGCATTTTAGACTTTGTGTTTTTCTTCCCTTCTCTTTCTCTCTTTTTAATGATGCTTTAATAATGTAAAACCTTCATCTTAGCTTATGGTCCTTAAGGACCTTTGGTTGGGTTTTGTCCTCCCCTTTGGCTGGCCATAGTTTGCTCAACCAACCCATGGTATAAGACCTTATATACATTATAAAGAGGCACCTCACACTCAGCTTGTATAGACTTGTTGCTTCTTGTGTTTCCAGTATAAGCAGGCATATAGTACTATTATTCACCTTGTTGCACTCTATTGTCAATTTATGTTAATTTAACCTCCTAAATATCTCTAATATCTCTGTTTACATCATTACCCTAGTCTAAGCATCTGTCATCTGAATAATAACCTAACTGATCTCCCCACATCAACTTTTGTTCTTCAGTTCTGCCTTCCCATAGCTTCCAAAATGATCCTTTAGAATCATGCCATCTCTCTATCACAAATATTTGTGGGCTCTCTGTGCTCTTAGAATTTGTTAGATTCCTACATTTTCTCCAGTCTTGCAGTCAGTATTCTTCCTCTCATTCTCTGCTCTTCAGTTCTTAGATGTCATACTGTTCTCTCCTATCTATAATTCGTAGAATCTACCCTTTCCTCTGCTTGGGATGCTCTTTCTTTCTGTGCTTCACTTTTCACTAGTCTGTAGATTTCAGTTCAAACTATTCAACAACTGTCTATTGCATGCCCAGTTGTTGTCAGCCCTGGTCTAGGTGAACAAATAATTCAGTGGATAAAATACATAAAGAAACTTGCCTTGCAGAGCTTATAATGTAGTTAACTCTGAACTATTTAATTTGATCAGTTCTGAATATAATAAACCCTTGAAGCACCAGGTGTCTCATCTGTGCACCAGTTATATTTGTCTTTCGCATGTATTTGTGTGATAATTTGACTGATGTCTGTTTTTCATAATATGCTATATATACTCCATGAGAGTAGGGATTCTATTTCCTCACTGTCTGTAACCCCCCACCATCATTGTCTCTCTAACAGTGAACCCAGTACCTAGCACATTAATAGGTATTCAATAGACAGTTTGTGAGTTGATGTCTTAATTAGTTAATTGATTTAAAAATTAAAGTTGTGATCTGTACATTTCTTCTTCAGGACTACATAAGATAGACCTGTATGTCTTTCCATGTTTTTATGCAAGTATACATCCATTAATTTTTGTATGAGTTTTTATTATTTTTTAGCTTTGGAGTATACAATCATTATTTTATGTCATGTAAACACATTATCAAAATTAAATTCTATTTGCTTCAAGTTAAAAATAAAAGTATGTTGAATATCCTTTTGAAGAGTTTTTTAACCAAGATAATTGTACCAGTCTCAAAAGTTTAACAGTCACTTTAGAGTAATTACAAATAAGATAAGAAATGGCCATGTTAAATATCAGATCCAGATCCAGAAATAATATATATATATATATATTTTGATACGGAGTCTCACTCTGTCACCCAGACTAGAGTGCAGTGGTCGCTCCCAGCCAACGCAGCCTCGACCTGCTGGCCTCCGGTGATCCTTCTGCCTCAGCCTTCCAAGTAGCTGGAACTACAGGCGTGCTTTACCATGCCCGGCTAATTTTTTGATTTATTGTAGAGATGAGGTCTCACCAAGTTGCCCAGGCAGGTCTCAGGCAATCCACTCACTTCAGCCTCCCAAAGTGCTGGGATTACAGGCTGAGCCACCGAGCCTGGCTAGAAATAATATTTTTTAGAAAAATAAATTTACTTTATTTGCTCCTGCTATATCCATTAAAAAAATTAGAATACTTAAAACTTAAGGTTTAACAGGGTCTTTGAAGTGATCAGTGGAGAAGCCAAGAGTGAAATAATCAGAATCATTGCTAGCTATTGATACCTGATCAACTAATTCATATTAATAAACCAGTTTCCATATGGTAATTTGTATATATGGAGTTTTAAAAAATTCCTTATTCCAGTCCTTGTGTGACATAAAAGTCATAGACTGTTTTTAAATGCATTGTATTACTAAAATATTTATCTCAATCTATATTTTGTGATTCACCAGGTGATTCTGGACAAGGATTGAGGCAGTGGATCAAGCAAGTTTTAAGTCAAGATTTAAGATTCCAACACATAAAAATTATTTATCCAACAGCTCCTCCCAGGTATGCAGTAATTCATCTTATTGCCCTATATAACTTTGTGGCATAGAATATACACAGGGGCCCAAAAATATATATACACATTTTAAGAAAGGAAAAACTGTATTTAAATAGTAATACTCAATGTATATTGATAACAAAGGATGAATACAAATCATATATTACTTTTGCAGTTAGAAGAGGTGCTCATAGTGGTTACCATCAGCATCCAGACACTTCATAGATAACATCTCTTAACACGTGTATGCATTTTTTTGGCATAGATATGCCAACTGGATATTCTTTAAGCATAATTCTGTATTTCAGATATTTTAAATTAGAATACTTTTTCCCTAGAATGTAGCCTATTTTGCATTTACACACTTGGTCCAAGTTTTGCCAAATAAGTAATTTATTGCCTCTCTGTAAAGCATTTCCTAAAGCTTTGAATTTAAACTGTGTCCCAAGCACGACCTACAGGACACTGTTTCCTCTGGCCCTGCAGAATACTCAAACTTTCTGCTTCCCAGCATTCGCCTCAAAAGGAAATTTAATAACTCCAGCTAGTATAGTCTTTCTAATGATTTAATTAAGCCAGGGTTCATAATCTCTTGGAAAAAGGGTTTTATGACATTCTTTCTACATTTAAAAGAATTATTTAGAAATATTGTTAAACTTTTTGAATCAGTAAGCCAAGATATAGATTGACTACTTACTAAATATTTAGATTATATAACCTGTAGGTGTGTTTAACATAATGCACAGTAATAAGACTGGTATAGTTTTGAAATCAAACTTTTATTTTGAACATAGGCTTTAAACCTGGGATTGTGAATATTTTTTGTGTAAGTGAAATACTGTGCTGAGCTATGCCTCAGTCTGATTTCTCATCTGTTCTTGATTTATTCTTATCAGGCATACTTTGTGCTTGCATTCCTGGGATAAACACCTTTTGTCATAGTGTGTTATCCTTTATATACATAGCTGAATTTTATTGTCTAATATTTTGGTAAGGAATTTTAAGTCTGTAATCATGAGGAATATTGATTGATATGTGATTTTTTTTTTTTAATGCCTTTGAAAGGTTTTATCGTCAGTGTTCTGCTGGTCTCTTAACACGTATTAAGATATAGTTCCTTTGTTTTTTGAGTTTGTTTGTATTATTTCTTCCTTAAATGTTTCATAACATTCACTAATGCAGTCATCTGAACCCGAAGTTTTGAGTCAGGTTTTTAATACTGAATTCAATTTCTTTTATAGAACCAGGGTATTTTGGGGTCTGTCTTGATACTTTGTCTTTCTCTTGGAATTTGTATTCTTTATGTGATTTGTTGCATTTATTGACGTAATATTCATAGTTTTTAAAATGCTTTTATATTTGTTATTGATATTATTTATTTCACTGATGATAATAATTTGCTTCTTTTGTTCATCTTGCCAAGAGGTTATCAATTTTATTAATTTCTCCATAGAACTACCTTTGACTTTGTTATTTTCTCTCTTTTTTTTTCTGTTTATTTTATATCTACTCTTGTATTTCTTATTTCCTTCTATTTACATTAAAGCTATACATTTCTCACTAATCTCTGCTTCCACTAAATCCCACTAATTTACTCTTTTTTTTATTATTTATATTGAAATAGTTCCTAATTTTCTTCATGGTCTCATTATTATACTTGTATAACAGCATAATAACAGTTTTATTATAATCTTAAATTCTGTGGGCTAAGAATTCAGAAAGGGCACAGAAGGCTAGAGATGACTTGACTGCTAGGTACTATAATCATTTGAAGGCTCAGCCACATATATGGCAGTTAATACTGGATTTTAACTGGGACCTTCCTTCAGTCCTATTGTTGCAACATCCTTATGAGGCCTCATCATGTGGTGTCCTAAGCCTCCTGGAAGCATGGAGGCTGGGCTCCAAGAGCGAATGTGTAAGAAAAACCAAGAGGAAGCTGTATTTTCTTTAAAACTTAGTCTTTGCAGTTACATAGCAATATTTCCTTGTTAGTTAGAAGACTACTCAGATTCAGGTGGAGAAAACATAGACCACTGTCTCTTGGTGAAGTATAAGAGTCACATTTAGAAGGGCATGTGGGGTGAGAGGTATTGTTTTGTAGAAAATATAGTTATGGGACTTTCTTAACCCAAGGATTATTTAGAAATATGTTATTAATTTCAAAATATTTGGGCTATTCTAGATATCTGTTGCTGTTGATATCTAATTTTATTTTATTGTTGTTAGAGAAAACATTCTATGTGATTTTATTATTTTGATACTCATTGGAACTTGTTTTATGGCTTGCATATGGTCTATCTTGGGGACTATTCTTGTGCATTTTTGTATATAGTATTCTATAAATATCTATAGTTCAAGGTGGTTGATAGTATTATTCAAGTTTTGTATATGCTTAATGATTATTTTTCCAAGTTGTTCCATTAGTTATTAAGGAATGGGTATTAAAATTTCTATGATTGTAGATCTGTCTGTTTTTGTCCTTTAGTTCTGTCAGTTTTCTCTTCATGTATTTTTAGGCTGTATTATTAGATGCATACTTATGTAAGATTGTTGTCTTTTTCATTGACAGCTACTTTTGTCTTATAAAATGCTTATTTTTAATTTATGGTAATACCCTGAAGTATACTTTGTCTAATAATAAAGTATATCCTCTTTCCTATACTTATTATTTACATGGCAAGTTATTTTTTTCTTTTTTTTAATTAGTGTTGTCTTTTTTCATCTTCTTACTGTTAACCTATCTATAACATTATATTTAAAGTAGATTTCTGATAGACTGCATGTAGTTGGGCTTTGTTTTTTTCTTTTTTTTTAACCAACCTGACAGTTTCTGTCTTTTAAGTGATTTGTTTTAAGCCATTTACGTGTAATGCATTTAATGTAACAGTTGATAGCTTGAATTTATGTCTACTGCTTTTTGTTCCTCTATTTCCCCTTTACATCTCCTTTAGAATTATTTGAGTTTTTTAATATTCCATTTTAACTTATCCATTCTTTTTTTTTTCCTGATTGTTCTAGGGTTTATTATATATATGTCAAACCTTTTACCTACTTAGAGTCTTTTAAAAAAAAATATTTTAAGTGAACTGTAGAAGCCTTATAACTATATAGGTCTCTTTATCCTGGCTCCTGTATGTTATCATTTTCATGTGTATTTCATCTAGATACATTGAAAACTCCACCAAACAAGGTTATGATTTTTGTTTTCAACAGTTATACACATTTTTAAAAACTTTAGAGAACAGTTGTCTATTACATGTACTCAGTTGTGGTCTGTTATGGCATGTAAATGTGTTTTGATTAAATTGTGAATTACCGTTTGGACTATAAGGTATTCCTTTTCCTCAACTATATTTAATAGATGTTTTTAATCACCTAAGTTAGGGGCATATTAAGTAAAAGTAAGCAGTTAGTTTAATGTGTTGATTTAGATGGAAAATATTGTTTTATAATTATTTTTTGCATTATAGTAATTTGGACTCTAATAGAAGTGTCCAATAAAGATTTTATTTCTATAACATACTTTAGTTATATTTATAATTGGAGGTTTCCTTAGTTTGGTTTTACTATTAGAACTTCTATTTAAAAGGTTTTTTTTAACAAGTCATTTATAATTTATATGATGTTATGATGTTATAATTTCTTTTGGTGTTTTGAAAAATTCCTAAAGGAATAAGGTTTGCATAGTGCCTCTACTTTTTGATTCACTGTCTTCCTATATAAAGTCCATGTTTATACTTTTCATTAACTGTGTATTCTGAAATAGATATAGGCACATTTTACTTAGGCATGGTAAACAGTAGATTTCTCTTTACTCCATCACTTAGGATTCCTATCTAAAGCATGACATTAGGAGAGTCCTCTCCTGATACCAGTAGGTCTGTACTACAAGTGTGCTAGTAAGGAACCCTACTAAAAACAGCTATTTTGAAGAAATAGCTTACTTATTTGGTAAGTACTAGGTATGTTGAAATACCTAGTATGTAAAAACTTATCTTATAATTTTTTTAAAGTAACAAAAGAAAAATTTGATTATTTTTACAGTATAGATTTTACAAGTTTTAAAGTCAAAAGACGCTTAAAGCAAAAATAAAATAATTTAAGTATATGTTGCAGGTATACTTGAAGTTGGAGAGTCAAAGAAGCATCCCTCTCCCCAACCCCAGAAGGTAATATTTGAGCTGAGACCTAAATGATCAATGGGAGCCCACTGTGCAGAAATGAGCCTTCCAGGTAGAGGGGATGTCAAATGCAAAGTCACTAGATCAATAATGAATTTGTCACGTTGGACAAAAAGAAAGTGTCGAACAAACCTAGTGAATGCTAGGGGAAGTGGTGTAAAATGAAGTCAAATTGTTGCCTTGAAGGCTATGAATGGCCTTTTGATTTTATGACTTTAAGAAAACACAGGTCGAAATAAAACTTGGTATCAAGCAGAATGTCAACTCTTTTTTTTTAAACTTGGACATTTTATTCTAGTTTAATATTTTACCAATGTGTAATAGGTTGATTGATTGATTTAGGAATCACACAGATGTTCTCTGCCAAACATATTTATTTTTTGTGGTAATATCTGAGCTGTTTTATACCAGCTAATAAAGTGATTTATTTTGTGGAAGAAGAAGGTAAATGAGTATAACATATGTCATATGAATATGTGAGGGTTTTTTTTTTTTTTTTGGCTGTTTAAAAAATAAACTTTGTTTTATTTAAAAGTTATTCTAACATCTTAGGACATTTATACATTCTTGATTATGTTTTCTTACCAAAAACAGTTCTAACTTATTATTTGTCTCATTAAATTTTCCCAATTATTCTTTTTGAACAGAATTTTAATTTTCTTAGATAATTGAGAGGACAAAAACCTACCACATTTGTAAAATACTTACATTGGGATTCTACCTCTGTTGCACATCTATCTCTAATTATGTAAGACTTTGTCAAGAAAAAAAGTTCAATGAATGTCATTTTTTTCCATTAATGGCTGACTTCCCAGAATGATTCACATTTTAGCCTATGATATCATCCGTATTTAAGTGTTTAGACAGACAAATAAACAGAAATAGAGTAAAATGAAAAGGGAAGTGGAAATAACTCAAAAGGGTAACAGTCGAATTCGAACTTTAACATGAGTGATGTATATTTAGTTTTGATTGAGAACATCACTGTGATTTTGGTGACAGTTCAGATATACTTTGGGATCTCATTTTGTCTGACATTGACTGTTTGGAAAGCACCTACTTTCATTTTCAGAGAACTTTGAGACATGTAATTCTGAGAAGAGATTCTGGGAGGAGGGAGGCTTGAATGCTTTCTGCCTTGTCTTCACTTTTGATTTAAATTTATCTGTGTCTTTTGAGCCACACAGCTTCTGCGGTCAGAAGGCATATGAGAATGAAGACTAGCTTCTATAGGGATCCTAGTAGAGAAATGATGCAGATCTTGTCTTTTCTGCACCAGTTGAGAGCCTAGATGGAGAGTAATGTAGGAGAAGCCCTAAGAACTTGGACTGTAAAAATTTGCCCTTCTCTCAAGTTTATGTCAGAAAATGTTAATTCTCAGCCTATAATGCAGTATTAATTAAAATTCCAAAAGAGTTTTTAAGGAGAATAATATGGAAGTATTTTAAAGTTTATTGTTCTTTTTATTAGTTTCTTGGATAATAAAGAACAGTGGATGCGTGAGAATAGCCAGGACAAGTACAATAAAATAGACTAGTGATCATGGTGGTAAGTAGAGGGGAACTTACCTTACATAACTTCACAGCAGGCTCTGAAACCATTGTTATACGGTTAATGTGATACTAACTGATAAATAGATTAGTAAAACAAAATAGAACCTTTCTCAACCACAGTTCTTGACGTGAATCACAGAACACAAAAAGTATTTGAGTGACTATTTTCTTGCCTTTCCTAAGGATAATATAAAATCAGTACCATTTTAGTTGCATTGGAGAGAAGTCAACTCTTTATATATAATGTATGTCTTAGGTAATTAGGGTTTAATTCTCTCACAGAACCCAGATTAGAGAGACTAAATAATGCAAAACTATAAAATACATGGCAAAGGTGGAATTTCACCATTTTCTGAGAAGGGTGTCTTCCTCTCTTTCTCTTTCCCTTTCTTCCCCCCCCCCCTCCCGCTGCCGTTTTTTATCTTTGTGGAGATGTTGGTTGCATTATCAAAAGTATTTTAAGTATATATGTAAAATATTTACACTTATTTATGTAAATTATACCTTAATAAAGTTGATTTTAAAACTTCAGTTAATACCCTTAACTACTGGTAACATTTTCCTTCTTTTTTTTTTTTTTTTTTTTTTTGAGTTGGAGTCTCACTCACTCGCCCACTCCCGGCCACTGCAGCCTCAACCTGCTGGGCTCCGGCAGTCCTTCTGCCTCAGCCTTCCAAGTAGCTGGAACTACAGGCACGCGCCACCACGCCTGGCTAGTTTTTGATTTATTGTAGAGATGAGGTCTCACCAAGTTGCCCAGGCGGGTCTCAAACCTGCAGGCTCAGGCAATCCACTCATCTCGGCCTCCCAAAGCGCTGGGATTATAGGCTGAGCTACCGAGCCCAGCCAACATTTTCATGTATGTCAGCACCTATTGCTATGTCTGTGGCAAAAGAATATTTAGTGCTATGGGCACAAGGATATTTTTCTAACTTTTTGTCTAAAGGTGAATTTTTATAACCTTTGTGAAAGCAACTTTAAAACCTCTATTAAGATAAAAATTCTGCCTTTCCATTCATCCAGCCCTTTGTTCCATAAGAGTAAATATTCCAGTAGATAAAAACATTGATGCATATATATATATATATATAAGTTTAATACAGCATTTGTTCTTAGTGATTAAAACCTGAGTACCAAATGAATGTCTATTAGAAGAATGGCTAATTAAATTGTAGAATATCTTTATCATAGAGTATAATATACCCATTTAAAAATATGAGTTAAAACTATACCAAATGGAAGGATTTCCATGAGATATTATTAAAGGTAAAAAGCATAATACACATAAGAAAAACAGATAGGCTAAATATTTTTGAAAAGCAAACCGCCTTAAGAAATATTCTGTAAATATGCATGTTTTAATGTAAGTGTAAGAATAGCATGGAAGGATATATTCCAGATCACAAGTATAGAGGACAATATGTGGGGACAAATTGCCTAGTATAGAGGACAAGATGTGGGGACAAATTGGAGAGGAGAATGAAGAGATGAGCAAAAAAATCCAAGTCTCTCTCTCTCTCCCCCCCATCTCTCTATCTCTATCTCTCATATTTGTAAGCTTTTATATAAATCTGCATAAATTAAGGGAAACTTTACATTTAATATACTGACTTAGGTATTTATCATACCCATTTAAATTTTAAAGAGCATATTGCAAAGTAATATTTATGATATAATTCTGAGTAAATAAACAAAAGCTCTCCTGTATATGAGCTTTTGTTAAATTTGAATCAGCATACTTTTCTTGTTTTCCAGATTTTTTTCAGTTTATCTGAGAAATTTTCCAAACAGAACCCCCTTGACACCCAGGCTCCTTAGTGAATGTCCATTTTTTTCGGAGTGCTATGTTCAATCTAGAAAGGGTAGTATGGTTCTCCTGTTCCCTTCAGCACCACACCCACTGGTCCTAAATATTAGATGCTTCTCAAGAGCCACAAGAATTGAATATTTTTAGCCCTTTGGGTTTGCTGGAGTTCCACTTGGGCTTTACACTAGGGGAGATATGGGAGGCAAGTTCAGGTCTCAACTGGTGTCTATTAGTCCCATTTTTTTTTTTTAATTTTAGCTGCACGTTTCATGCTTTTGCTTCACTGATGTTGGAGGGTGAGAATGTACAACAAATCTCAGATGGCAAAGTAGTAGAAGTATAGGTGTAGGAGGAATCCTGTATCTTATTTGTGGTTGGTTTAGAGTTCTTCCAAATTATAATGAACACTTTGTCATTGGCTGTGTTTTGTATTGCATTTTTGCATATAACAAACCTTGTTTTTCCCCATAACATAAGGAGAAACTGGGCTTGACAAATGATAAATAATATCATTTGTCTCACTTTCATGTCCTCCATCTTTGAAAACTTTTGTTCTCTGTGTTGATCTAATATATCTCCCTGTACCTCTTTGTGTTTACCCACAGAAATCTCTAAGATTGTTTTTTGTTTCCCTTTTATTTACCTCTACCAACACAGGACTTCACACAGAACCTCCTTAACTCCTTGTTATTTGGAATATCTTGATGATATAGTCTTGGTTGTGTGTGTGTATACACACTAGCATAGCATTCTAGAGCATGAATATACCATAAATGGGCTAAAACTCACGAGTACTGTTCCACCTCTTAAAAGATGGAGAGCAAGTAAAGATTATGAACTGGCATTAGTAAATGTTAATGGAATACATGTAAGTATAGGATAGTTAATGTAATATACATGGGAGTATTTTTAATATGCATTTAACTTGTAAAACATTGAGGAAATTGAAATTATTCATTCAAAACACTAGTCTCTTAGGAATTGAAGCATCAATTTTAATATTCCCATTTCCTTTTTTTAAACAGGCCATATACTCCTATGAAAGGAGGAATCTCCAATGTATGGTTTGACAGATTTAAAATATCGAATGACTGCCCAGAGCACCTCGAATCAATTGATGTAATGTGTCAAGTGCTTACTGATTTGATTGATGATGAAGTAAAAAGTGGCATCAAGAAGAACAGGATTTTAATAGGTAAGACTATTAAATGTTGATAATTTATATGTTTTTTATTTTTGTCTAATTCTATACACCATATTTTAGTTTGAGGATTTTTTTAGAAGCACTGTATATCAATTGACCCATTCATAGTTTCAGAGCTACTTGAGAGTTTTGAAGATATTAGATTAGAAATAGCAGTTTATGCAACTTTAATTGTTTTTCTTTTTGAATAACATTTTTAGAATCCATGACAAAATTTTCTTTCTAATTTAATTTTCAATTAAGAGAGCATTCATTTCCATTTTTCAAACATTTTTATTCAATTAGCTTAAGTCTTACAAATTTAAACTTTTATTGCTATGATTAAATAGAGTACACAGTCAAAATATACTGTCAAATTTATGAAAATTCAACTCTTCAGAGTTAATATTACAAGGTTAAGTTATTTATAAACTTTTATTAAACATGTCTTTTGTAAATTCTGTTTCCAAGGACTCTGTTCCTAACTGGCCCACCACTTATAACATACATTTAATTTTTGCTACCTAATCTTTTAAGTAGAAATAATAATACATCTAGTTTACTCAGAGAGATGCTTGTGAAATATTTGATTTATTCCAGGCTCTCAGTAAAGACTCTCTTCAATGTTTATCAGCTTTATGTAAGTTCTTTATTTTGCTTAATACCCTTTTTTGAACTCATCAAATACATAAACTATTAAAAATTTCTGTTTTTTAAAATATATACAAGCCGGGCTCGGTGGCTCAGCCTGTAATCCCGCACCTTTGGGAGGCTGAGGTGAG